TTAGAAATTATCATCGCACTCATCAGTAATTGGTATGAGATGGTTCAGTTGGTTCAGAAATTATCATCGCACTCATCAGCACTTGAGACGAGATAAAGGACGGCTCGATTGTATTTTTTGAAAACTGAACTGAAATGACCTCTGAAAACTGGATTAAAAATCCTCGTTTAATTAAGACTGGAAAAAATTATACAAGCGGTAACTAATAAATTCAGTGCGAAACAAAAATTGTTTTTAAATATTTTTGAGCAATTGGATCTGGTTTATATATATTGTTGAGCAATTTTTGTTTTTTCTGAATCCTTTTCCTCGAAATCTCAATTTTCGACAAATCGTCTGTGTTGTCTTAATAGCTCACTATGGTATTCATAGTCTGATGTTTTTATTGAAATTTTTGTCTCCTCGGCTGTTTTGGCTGTTTCTGAATCCTTTCCCTCGAAAACTCCTCCTTCGACAAAGCGTCTTTGTTGTCGTAATGGCTCACTATGGTATTCGTAGTCTGGTGTGTTTGTTGAAATTTTCCTCAGATAAAGTTTGCGTTTACCTCTCTTATTGAATTTAATTTTGTCTTTCCAGATATTTGTACTCGAGTCGTTTGACGAGTTAGGATTCTGATGTTTAAGCGTATTTAAACTAAAAACATTTACAGAGTCAAGTGGAGTATCTTTATCCGGGCAAACGTAGGGTGTAATTCTTCCGAACTGCAGACTCGAAAGGAAATAAATTATTTCGTCAGCTGAAGAGTGCGAAGAATAACAGCACCGAATGGTACTCTCAGACACTGCTTCAGCCAATCAAACATGAACGAAACGATTTGAACAAACTGTTCTCTATTCAAAAGATAACCGAGGATTTTGAGTGTGCGGCCACCGAAACAATTTTTTTTGAGTTTGTCAATCAGTATACTGCGCTCCAGTTTGTCAAAAGCCTTTGCAAATTTTCAATAGACAGCTTTGACAAGAATCTTTGGATTTTGTACTACTTTATAAATGTCAAGAAAGCATAAAAATTGGAAAATTAGAGAGCGTCGTTTCTGGAAAGCAAACTGACACCAAGGAATCCGAGTTCTGACATGCTGGTAAAGATCGTCATCAATACATTTTAATAACCTTTGGATATGATATCAAGGAGAATGATCGGTCCATAAGTTCAAAGCTTTTTCATCAACAGGGTAACTTAACCAATTTTCCATTCATCTGGGTAATTGCAAGTATGATTTGTTTGGTAGTAAAACTTTCCAGTAGAAACGCAAAGAGTGTTTGAAGCTTTCTTGAAAGTCACCGGTCGCAACTCGTCTGATCCACGTGATTTAGTAATATCCAACTTGGCAAGAATCTGTGTAATTTTTACAGGTGACATTTTGTAATCAGTAACCACTTGATCCACTAACTCGGTTTTTACTGGCAAAATCGACTTTCGTGTGAAGTCGCTTTGAGAAAAGGAATGAAAGTTTTAGATGGTATGAGAGACAAGCTTCTGAAGCATTTAAAAAACTGGAAAATAAGCCTCAAGTTGCGTGAACTGGCAAGTTTTCCTTTGTAGCAAGACTGAGCGTTTTTCAAGGAAACATCAATTTGGTGCTTTAAGCGATAGAATTTTAGACGCACACTTTTTACTATATAACAAGAATTTGCGGTAGACAGAGGATAACAGCTTTTGTCGTCGATTCTGAGATAGAGGGCTGCGGGTGTTCAATATGATCACATCCAATGTTGATAGTCAATTACTTGCGTCGTCATTTCATCGTTTTCCTCGTTAGCAATGGAGTTTTGTTGTTTTAGCGTCGTAACCAGAATTCGTGCTTTCACAGATTTGCCATCTAACAGCAATTTCAGTGACCGAATTTTAGGCGCGAAGGATTTACTCCGGTGTTTTCTAACTCTCGTCGTTTGAGTCAGCAAGCTTTTACCATTTTTTGGTCTGATGCCTTCATACTACTTTTTGTTAACGTCTTCAGCTGCGATCGTTTCGAGAAAGTTTTTTTGACATCTTAAGAGTTATGAAAATTCACAAGCATTGTACTCGGTCTGAATTTATCTTTGTCAAATTTTCCAAGTCTGGAAATATCAGTTAATGTTGGTGTCAACTGAAGATGTTTGCAAATATTAGCAGCAGCGCATTTTTCGGATTCCAATTGACCATTGATGTTGTTTCCCGTATACTCATCAATGCCATCGATGCGTTTTGGCAATGTGTGCTGTGAATCGTTAACTGTTGGAGAAAAAGTCGGCGGTTTGGCTTGAACAAGTTTTGCAACCGTCTTGATTATTGCAGCCACACCTGTATCGAGTGACTTTTCGACAACCGGAACTAAGGTGGTCTTCAATTTGTTTATTCCTGAGGAGAGGGCAGTCAAGCTCCGAGCAAACTCGGTATCTTTTGTAGTTTGAATTGTCAACTGTGAGAGACATTCTCTCAACAGAAACTGCAAACTGTTTTTCTGAAGACTACCTAGAAGGCGAATAACATCTTCGTCTGGTGCCCATAGCAACTCGGCAACGGTTGGAAGCAATTTTTGCTTGAGAAACTGCGAGACAAAGGGCTCTTATCTCCTTCGTTCATTTTGCATATCTATCGGGAAAAAATTCGTTCCTCAATTTTTCTTCGAAATGTAAAGTAGGAAAAAGGTAGCCAAATTTATTTGAGGATATTGAGGAAATTGCGAGAACAAGGAGTTGTCAAAAGTTAACGTGTTCGTTTCTCGCTGTAGTCGAAGTTTGTTGTGCCAGTAGTGTCAAATGTCATTCCGCGTATGATGAGTACACAACACGTAAGTACTACTCGGCACTTAAGTACTGCTCGCAACACTTAAAAATCGGCCCAAAAAGACTCTTCAAATCAGTTAAGATTTTTGAAGGCACAAATTTAGGTCCAATTACAAGGTTGAAGTAGAGCATGATAAATGTTTATACAACCGGATCTCTAAAAATGCTTGGTCGTAATCAAGGACGACATATAATCCGGTTCATCTATTTATTCATCATGAAACTATTTAGAAAAATTTTGTATCTTCTCCTTCCCCTAAAGAGGAAAGGAGGAAGCGAACACGGGGGAGGCGGTATGTGGGATAAAAACGAGGAGGCGTATAAGCTGAGAGAAGGAGCGGGATCCGGAGGTGTAAGCGAGGATGTGTAAGCGGGAAGAAGGGTTGCCACATGCTGGAGGGACGACAAGTAACAGAACTTGGACTAGGGAGAGTAAATAATTATTGCAAAAAATGACATACTGAAAAATCTATGAGAGTCTCATTTTCCTGATGTAACATCTATCAAGCCAGAAGAACTGTTAAATGTAGAATATATTGCACTGTGCTTAAAGTTGTCAGAGAAATACAAAAACAATTATATTATAATACATTAAAATTGATCGTAATATATTAAAATAAATTTTTTTGATTTGACAGAAAATACACTTTTAATCCATTTTTAATCGATTATAATCAATTATTTTTGAAATTTATAGAGACTGACAAGTAAAGTCCAATATAATCGATTATAATCTATAAATTCTAGTGCGAGCAGTAACTGGCACGTGTGTGTCGCCTGTTGGCTGCCTCATGCTTGTTGTCTAACTTTTTTCTCCTGAATGTAAGATTTTCAAAAAATTAGTTCGCGCAAATGATATTCTAAGAATTTCTGTTATCTCCACCTACTGATAAATTTTAAAGAAAAGTAATTGCAATTTTGTAAAACCAAAAGCTACGTATTTCGGTTTGCATTGCAGCCATTCGATTCAAGGAATTTTTATGGCAGTTTTTGAAGCACCACATAGTTTCAAAACCGCAAGCCTGATTTTTTTTCATTGTCGAGATAATTAAAGCGTTGACTATTATTTCTATGAGTTATGACACAAAAACTTTTTCCTGCTGATGAAAGTTTGTTACTATAGTAAAACTAACAGATTTCAAAAAACTAAAAAATTGCTTTGCTTGAGCAAACCCTGATTTTAATCTCAACTTCATGTCTTATATTCGAAGCTGAACAAAGATTTTGAAACACTCACCCTTTTTTCTTTTTCTTCCGACCTTCAAAAATATAACATTAGGGTTTTTTCTCCAGACTTAGTACGTTCTAATACTTTCTAGAATTAGTAATTTCTAATTAACAAGTTTTGAAAGCATTTTTTTATTCATTGCAAAGCCATTATTGTCTTGAGCTCAAAGTTAAAAATATATATTTTTTTGGTGATCAATTTTTTTTAGAGTTATGTGGCTTGAAGATTGCCATTACGGCAAACTTAAAACAAATAACGCGCAAGAGGTTTCGCGCGTTAAATATTTATCATTTGTACTTAACATAGCGTGTGAGGGATTTTCAAAAACAAACTAAAAACTGATTTCTTTGGAATTTTCATCCAGTTTTTGGATCCATCTAACCTCTAACATCAGTCATTTATGGTTCCTACTAAAAACGTACGACTCCAAAACAAAGCAGTGATTTAGCACTAGAGCTTTGTTTTTATAAATCAATTTTTATTGCCTTCTGATTGGTTGAAAAGTCAACTAACTTAATCTTCTAAACATTTATCTCCCTTTAGTAAGGAGGGGGGGGGGGGGGGGGTTAACTGTTAATTATATTTCAACTTTTCAAAGTAAATTTTTACTCTTTAGACCTTAAAGCGCAATAGGAGCATTTTGGCTTTGTCCTGATAAGAGCAATCTCGATACTTTATTGGAGCTTTTAATTATGGAGCTTTTTTTCAAGCTCGGTTTTTCTGTTTGACTGCATGATTTTGCTGGCTTTTGAAAAAAAAGATCCGAACAAAAAATGCTAAAACAGGGTGATTCAGAAGAAGATTTTAAAGTTTTTACTTATTTTATTTTTGCGACAGTTATAAGATTAGGCCTGCTGCAAATAACCTTTTTAATGTCAGTAAAAATCAAACGCCTTAAAATGATTTCTATGGAAGATACAATAATAAATTAGCTTGGCTATGTTGGCTAGTGTGGTTATACAAACTTTTTCTGTAGAAAGATTAAAAAACTGGACTACTTGGAGCACCTGATTTGACGTTTCCGGTGGCTTGTTATCATTTTGGTTGCTTCCTGGTAACTGTTGCTGACTGGATGATCCGTATCCCTGAATACAAAACATTGTTATCTCTTTTCTATTAACAGCACAAAGTCTTAATGAAAAAAGAACTGAAACATTTAGAAAAAAAAGACCTCATTTATCAAAAACTTGATCTTGTTAAAAAAACTAAGCTGATCAAAATAAGAACAGTTATTACTTTCTATGGAGGTGGATGCTTTTATAATTGTAATTTAAAAACACTAAATGGGAACAAATTTTTATCAGGCATATGGTACGTCTTTTTTATATTTAGTTTTTTTCTATATCAAACCAAACCTGAAAAATTGGCATTTTATTGATTGATCGAAAACAAAAATAAAAAAATAATAAAAAACTAACAAAAAATGATTATACGCAACCAAAGATGTTCAGTTTCAATTGCTAATTCTCTTTAATTTAATTTCAACATTACAATTTATACAATCGAAGCATGACAATTTGATCTAATTGGAGTACCTGAGTTGAAGTTCCTGTAATCTGTGTTTCATTTCGAAAGTTTTCTGGGAACTGTTGCTGACTGGAAGATCCGCATCCCTGATAACAAAAACTCACATGTGTGGGGTTCTGTTACCAATCTAATGTCTTGTAGGTGATAAGAGGACAATGTTAACAAATTGACAAATCAACATTCATAAATTTATGAAAACCTTTGATACTTTAGACAATTTCAATGAAACAGTCGATTGGTCTAATTATGTGGGAAAAAAATTGCTTCAGTCCACTACCCCTCCGAACAAAAAATATTCGAAATAGAAAGTTTTTAAATTTTAATTTAGAGCCCATGTGTCCTGTTTTTATCAAAAATATGGTACGTTTGTATCTTCATCAATTTTTTGCAAAAGCAAAAGCTGAAAAATCAGTAAGGTATTGGTTAAAAAAAACAAACCTAATAACTAAACAGAAATGAAGAAAATGTCGATTAAGAGGTGTTCAACTTTGAAATTGAATTGGTATAAAACTCTAATGTAATGTTCTAATGTTCTATTTAGAGACAATTTTTCCCCATTTTTAGAGCTAACAAATTTCAAATTATACTTCGGAAAGATGAAAATTGGACTACTCGAAGTACCTGGTTTGAAGTTCCTGCAAACTGTCTTTCAAGTGTAGTGTTTTCTGGTAACTGTTGCTGATTGGAGGATCCGCATCCCTGGAAAAAAAACGATTATCAAATTTAAAAAAAAACAATGCGTTGCTAACAGAACGATAAACTATTGATTTAAAGGCAAAACGAAAACTAAAAAAGACCTTACGAGGCCAATCTGTGCATTTTGTGAACTGTCAGCGGATTTAGCAATGGGCAAAAATCAGATTTGTCGCGGAATCCCCGACATTGCTATTTTTCTTTGATCTTCTCTGCTGTTTTGAATTCCATGGACAAATAGCTAATACACTGTGTTGCTCAAAATCGCTCCAAAAACAGGCAACTTTGCACAATCCGCACACAAAATAGCTGTGGAATCCGAAACCAGTTTGTGGAGCCCATGAACAAATAATAATATATGCCCTTCGTAAACTTAAGCTGTCACAGAATCTGCAACTGTAAGTGGAATCTGCAAATTTTAGGCGGAATCCGCATCTTGTAAGCGGAATTCGCAAATTGAAGCGGAATCCGCTTAACTCAAACTATCAACGACAGCCAATAGAGAAAATCTAGTAAACACGGAACAACTCACAGATTATCAGGACGCTCAAAGTCAACTGAACATCAGAGATAAATACAAACACAACATCAGCAGAGAGAAACAACTCCAGCTTTGACCGGAATAAGGATACATAGTGATTTCCTCGGTACAAAGACCAGCACTGACGACATTGTACATTATCCCACAAAAAATCAGAAGCCCCAGCCAAACCTTGAATCATTCAGCAGCAACCCAGAACAATGATTTCACCATTCAATAAAAGCTTCAACGCCAGTGTCAGCAATAACCATTGTCAGCAGAAGAAAACGACCCAAAATTTAGCCAACAAAAGTGACTCAAATCAACGACAGTTCTCAACACCAACTGAAAACAAAAAATTTTAACGCCTCATATGATCGCAGATAAAAAAAAACAATTTTGAGCCCAACAGAAGAACAAAAATCAACTGTAAACCCACTGTAGACAACCCCTACAGCATTACTTTTAGGAAGGATTTCGACAACATTCGACACGTAGACAAAAATCTCGTTTGGCACTCTTTTACAATAGTTGCTTACATAAAAAGAAATCAGGATTACGAATTCAGCACTCAAATGCATTTGGAAACAGCAAAAAAAAACTTTTGGAAACATTTGGAAACACCCAAATTTCGAGAAGAGCTCGACCTCAATGAACAGCGACGCAAAATACTAAAATTACTAAAAAACCGAAGCCATCAATTACACGTCAGGACAACACATCAGGACAAAAGACAAGGAACACACGCACCACACCCAAAAGCACGTTCGAACAACAGACACAACGTTAGACAAAAAAACTGGACAACAGCTCGCAGAAATTTGGAAAACAATCTACAACAATTGGCGGAAAACTACGAATTGTTGCGGGTCCGGAGCTGCACCACATCAAATTCCAGCAATATCTATACAGCAAATAACATCAAAGAACAGTAGCAATTTTGCGAAATTCGGTTATAATTCATAATATACACAGTTTGGCCTCGTAATGAACTTGGTGGTTCAAAAATGACTCCATGCTTAACACAAAAAGCTACTGATGTGATTTTTCAAGATTAGTATATTTTTTCTGGAATAACTTACATCAAATTGTGGACATAACGTCTCATTATCAAAAAATTTCAATTATTGGGGTTGTCGAGATAAATGTTCTAAAACAAAATTTGGACTCACCGCCGCCCCCGCTCTCTTTCTATTTTGTGATTTCTTCTTTGGCATTATGAGCTTTTGTCTCGGCTAAAGTCGTAGTTTAAACTCCCGTAACTGTAAGACAAACTAATGAAAAGATTATGCTAGTTTAATAAAACGCACGTTGTCTGAACTCAGCAATCCAGAAAAATTACCACGTGGTGTATTGAATATAACTCGATAAATATTTTTTCTTACAAAACTGTATTCGTGGGTAACGTAATTTTATTTTTGTTTTCTGCTTTTCTCTTCGATTAGTTTTGATATGACTTTTATATTCTGTTGACACAAGCAAATTAGAGAAAAAACAGTAAACATTTTCTGCACACAGATGGCTTTAACATTTGAAATCATAGTTTCATTGTTCATAGTATTTGTTAACACAACTTATAACTTCAAATAAAATAAATCTGGTTTTAAAACACTTCATTTTTGTTTTTTCATGCTCTTGAGGAGCTCAAATGTCTCAAAGAAATCCGTTCTGAATTTCTGGACGACAAATACTTTGAAACAAGTTTTGAAAGTTTTTATAAAGCAGACGCTACGTTGCCTCTAAAGGTTTAAATTAAAGATGCTTTTAAAAATACTTTTCAATTACTTTTCAAATTCTGCCGAAAATTGAAGTCAGAAAACAAGAGTGAATGAACACGTGAAGAGTGAAATAAATTAGCAATTACTGAGTATTTTGAGGAATCTGAACCTGACCAATTCAACCGACGCAAACTCTTAAGCTATGGCGACGGTAACATTAGCAAAAAAAGTTATCAATAACATTATACAATAACGACTGATAAAAACAACACTAGTCGTTTCTTTATAACGACTGAAGCTAATTTCTTTATATGAAGCGTGTGTAAACTTAAGAATCACCTTGTCTGAGAGGCACAGTGATGCGGCTTTAGCAAACATCTTCTGCACTTACATTTCGAAGATAACAGAGCTGCATGTAACAATTAGAATACATGTAACCAATGAGAAGAATAGTAAGGAACAATTTGGTTTTTACAGGAAATTAATCCAACAAACTATTTTTTTTGGATACTCAATGGGATCGAATCAACCGTGCCAAAAGGTAGATGAAAGCAGTTTCCCTTCATATGAGTTAGTGCATTTTTGAACTGATTTAGACCAAGTTCGCTGATCATACCTTGAAAATCTCATTCAAAAATAGTTTTTCCAGAATTGGTTTGCCAATTTATAACAGAGAGATTAATACCACCCAAAACGAATTTATAGGAAAACGATCCGTAGCGGTGAGATGTAGCGTATGTCTTGAATGAGTGATGGTAAGCTGTAAGGTATGTTGTTATTCAAATAGTTGATTCATGATAACGGGAACTATGATGAGGATTGTAGAATAGGAAAAAAACAACAATTTTTTTCCATGCGAGAGACAATGTAAAGTTTAGATTCGAGAGGTCACCAATCAGATATTTTTTACCCGATACAAAAAAATTTTGCCATGATCACCATAAATTCGAACACATATTGATACAGTTTGATAAAAGAAACGAAGGTTTCGTTGGATAACCAAGTCTCCGGGAGCAAAACAATGGAAGTATTTTTGATAATCAGTGACTCAATGAGAATTTGTCGTTTTTCGTAGCTGCATTTTGATTGAAATTCAGATGTATGTAATTTACTTTCTCTAGTCAAGGAGCGGATTCAATATTGACGGCTTTACCGTTATAGAACTGCTGCAGTTGCTTAATCCGCAAATATTTATTCTCGTTTCCCTCCGCATTAAACATTTTTAGGCAAGCGATTTTTTTCGATTCCCCTGTCGGAACTTGAAGGAAATTTTTTACTTTGAGATTAGAGCTTTTTGAAAATCACTGAAGAATAACTTGAGGTTTTCTAACTAAACAAAGAATTTTGATATTTTCAGTTCACAGATCAACAAGAATTGGGTCACTGGATTCGAGTTATCTTAATGTTAAAGTTAATGTTATTTGAAAAATACTAAAAAAAGACTACTCAATCTTTTAATAATAATGATTTTTCATTCAGCAGATCAAAGGAAAATGGATCAAATGACGCGAAATAAGATTAAATTTTTTTTTTGAAGAATACTGGTGGATAACTTGAAGATTATAAGAATTTTAAAATGTTAAATCAAAAACGTTGTCCTACATTATTTTATATCACGCATGTTTTGTTAGGATTCTTGACTGAATTATGCATAATGGTGTTTTTTTATTTGTAGATCTTTGGACTTTGGTAAACAGACCCAAATTGTAGTTTTAACTGCTGCTGTTTGAAGAACACTGAAAAACAACAAGAACTGACTGAATTGAATTGAGATTGAATTTGAAAGTGAAGAACGAAGAGTCGTCTATTTTGAATAGTATCCTAAAATTTTCATTATTTCACAGGACATGTCGATTTTTGTTTTGGCTCAGAAGTTTTTTTATCAGTATTAAACTTGGAATTGTCAAAACAAGACCAGTTTTTTGCAAAGAATTATTTTTTGCAAGAATGACTTCTGGCTAGCAAGGTCCTCTGTTTTCGGTCTAGCTGTTGGAGCAAGCAGAAAATCTTCTTTTAAATTGTAAATTAATTTGTTCACGTGAAAACTCAATTAAAAACGCATGTTAATTTTTCCATGAATTTTTAAATTTTTCTACCCGCGGTTTGTGCTAACCTATTTATCATTAAAACATTTTTCATACGATACAGTCGCTGTCCGAGGTAGCCCTTCAAATGTTAGAGCAAAAACGCCTCAATACTCGTTTAAGACTTTGGAGGCTCTTGTCAAGTGTTCATGGATTCAGTGCAGTTCGAACGGTGAACGTCTCTCATATTTGTCAGCTGCACTCAGTCTTCAGTGAGACTTCGCAATCGATCTAAGCACTCGGAAGAACCGTACAAAACGATTTGGGGCATTTCTTTCTCTTTGAGAACCTCAATCCTCAATCTCAGAAAGCATGGGAAACTGTCAAGTATGGGGTTGAAGCTCTTGGCTTCAATCGACTGATAGTGGTCTTATATAACAGAGTCAGGTGTTTAAAGATGTTTGAAGGACCTCATTCCAGATCCCATAAAGCTGAGCGAAAGTCGCAGATTTTTTATACAGAAAAGAAACGATCTCACAAGAATGGCTTCTCTTCACCAGAGTGTAAATTTCAAACCAAGACAGACATCCAATTTGGTAGTGTGAGAAACACCGCTCATTGACAACATCAGAACGAAACTTTTTTGTGACCAGCAACAGGATGTGCTTCAATGGTTTGTCTGCTAGTCACGATCTTCTGAATCACCGAGCAAGACTGTTAAAAAGAAGCGGCATGTATCTCTTCATGGCAGCTCTAGTCAGCCTAGTCCGCGTCTCACACGGGCAAAAGATGGCTTTCAAACGAACTAGAACCATCAAAGTTCTTTCAAAGCAAACGTCAAAGTTTGATCTCAGAATGGCCGAACTTATCACTTTGGGGCGCTCATTGATGATTATGCTAAAACGGACGTTATCACTCTGCAAGCCATGCATCGGCTTGGTATCAAAATAACAGAAGCTCAAATTCGCATAATTGGAGTGAATCAGAAGAACGCTATGTCTACCCATGGATGAATTAATCTCACAATTCTACCAAAGTCTGGTAACAATTTCAAAGTTCCGTGTGGTGTTGAAAAACATCACGGATCACGAGTTTCCAAGAAAGCAAATTGTAGCCACCGACCTACGAGCAGCTATCTATGCCAAAACAAACTTCAGACGCATGAACCCATTTTTATTTTAGCTGCCAAGTCACCAGAGAAGACAGATTGCATTCCAAGAATGGAAAACTCCTGAACTGTGTCTTGACGTCAATCAAAACTTTGCATTTGTAGGTAGATGTCAGCGAGTGGAGTGAATCAATGATAGCACTTGTTCGGATAGGATAAACTACTTTCGTGGCCAACCGCATTGCCATAGTTCAACAGATGCTACCATCGGACTCATTTAAATCCAGCGGATCATATAACTCGACCAGTGACAGCAGCTGTACTACAAAACTTGCAATTTCTACATAGTAGTTTTTATCTGCATTTCTGCTAAAGCAACTTACTTGGATATTTCAAAAGCCTTGGTCACTGTAGAATGCTTAAACTGTAGTCTAGTGATGTTACTCCAAGTTTTAAAAAAGGTAAGGGCAAAATTAGTACACAACCAACGTTATGATTGCGAAAAATGTCGAAGAAAAAAGATGAGAGATAAAAATAATAAGTTTAAAAACATTTTAGATCAAAAACAAAACATCAAATTTTAAATTGAAAAACAATTGTAAACCCACCAACTCCTCTTTCTCGTCATTCTTCCAAACTCATCCTCCAGATTTTTCCTATAACGATACTTTCGGATCCTTTTTTTTCTGCACCACAGAATCAGGGGCTGCATCCACCAACTCCAGCCGCCAAAAGACCACCCGATTCTCCAAGTTCACCTTTTCCACCTTCTTCGCCATTGCCACCCTCCCAGAAATAATGCTCGACAATTGCATTACATCCGCTTTCTTCTTGCTACTTCTGAATTTCATCTCCCTGTGAAATGCGAAAAGTTTGATCAAAGATCAACGGTGGCGGAAATGTTCAAGCAAGCAAAGCAAATTTAACTGATAAGATGTTTTTTCTAATGTAAACTCACATAAAAACGCATGAAAATTGTCTCATACTTTGTTCTATTTTTTTACCCGCGGTTTGTTTTAACTAATTTATTAATAAATTGAAATTTTTGCCACAAATGCAATTCAAATTCTTCAAATGCTAGAGAAAAGTGCTTCAAATGCTAGAGCCCAGATAGAAAAAGTCGTGTAACCCTTTGAGCGCTCTTGTCAAGGGATCATTGATTCACTGCAATTCAAACGGAAACCGTATCTCAGCTTTTTTCAGCTACACTCAATCTTCAATGGGACTTCTCAATTGATCAAAGCACTCGGCAGATCGGTAGAAAACAATTTGTCGCAATTCATTCTCTTCGAGAACCTCGATCCCGAATTTCAGAGGCTTGGGAAACTCCCAACGAGATTACGGAAGCTCTTGAGTTTACTCGACTCAGAAAACAGACTCAGGTAATTAGACGTGATTCAAGTATCTACTTCCAGACCCCATCAAACTGAGCATGAGCAGCAGATATTCTTAATAGAAAAGAACC